CTCTCTCTCTCTCTCTCTCTCTCTCTCTCTCTCTCTCTCTCTCTCTCCCTCTCTATCCATCGTCTAAAATGTGAAATTTTCAGTTTTATTACTATGAAAACTATCACCAACTTTGTTTGGCGCGCTGATGTTGGGTTGAGTTGTTTTTTTCTTTCTCTTCTTTCTCTTTGCTGCTTGTGTTGTGTATGTTGCCGTTGCTGCCGTCGTCATCGTTTTTGTCCGTTCTGGCTTGTCCGCAATTGCATTTTAGGTTCCTGTTTCTGATTGCGTGCTTGTTTTTCTTCCATTGGCTTTCGTTCATTCGCTAGTTTTGTTCATTCATTTTGATCTGTTATTCGTTTGAAATGTGCGTGTTTTTTGTTATTCCTTTCTTTCTTTCATTCATTCTCTCTCTCTCTCTCTCTCTCTTGCTCTCTCTCTCTCTCTGGTTCGTCGTCTTTTTTCCCCGTGTTGGTTATAATAACTCGCACACACAATGCAGCACTTTCTTGTTTTGGTGAAAGGTAGTCGTGGCTTAAGCGGCATTGAAATCACTTTTCCTTTATTTTATATACATACCGACACACACATACACACACACTCGCCATACATACACTTTATTACAGTAGATAATGCCCATATACTAGTTGCTTTCTCTCTATTTTTATTCGCTCTTGTCTTCCATCGCATCGCGTGCTCTTCGCTCTATGCGTTTCATTTATTTTTATAAGCGAACCGACCGAGTTCATAGTCTATATTATAGTTGTATTATTTTTTTTTCCTTTTCTTCTTCGGTATTGTTGTTGGCTCGAGAGTTGGGTATATGTTAACAAGTTTCTAACTAGCGTAATGTGGACTGAAAATCGTTGTATATACGATGAAGTGTCCATTTGACTATGTGTATGTGTTGCAATTGAGACAATGGCCAAAATGCAATGAGCAAAAAACTAACTATTCCAAAATTTCTTGGTTCGAATTTGGTGTGTTGATGTGTTTGCAGTAACAACAACAAGCACCAAAATAGATTAAACCAGAAGACCAAACCGAAGAAATACTATAATAACTCGCCTTTTACCTTTGCTACTGATTTTGGCAACACAAACAAACGCACACCCCATAGCACATAATATAATCGATTCTAGAATCTCTCTCGCACAAAATCACCCGAACTCTCTTTTCATTTCAGAACCCAGTTAACGTAATCTGCTCTCCGTTTTTTGTGTGTTGTTAGTTGATATAGCGGACACAGAGTATGTGTGTCGTGTTATATTATTATGTTGTTGTTTTTTTCAACTCTCTACTCTCTCTTTCGTCTCTCATTTCAGCCGGATTCAGAATGTGCGTATTTAACTAGTAATATACACACATGTGATTTTATTTTGCATTGATCGCTGTTTGTTCGTTTTTTTTTCGACTTTTGCCTGGTTGAGAGACCGCCTTCATTTTCAAAAATGTTACCTCCTCTCGTTTACCACACATTTAATGCTGACTGGTTCATTCGGTCGACTGGCTGACAATACCCACTACGAGCTATGCACATGTGGTTGTGTGCTGTATGCGCGATTACATAGAAAAATCCAATGTTTCTGCCAATAGTGAATTTCACAGGCATTGGTGCGCCAAATCAAAACCAAGCAAACTGAATGCTTGCTTATGGGCGCGCTTGTGTGTGTGAGTGTGTGTCTTTGTGTGCGTATGGTACGGCGCGCACAGTACATGCACTCAGATTGGAAGATAATAGAGCAGAAACGGCAACAACAACAGCAACTGACAACCAACGTTCTGTGTGCGAGCATTCTGAACATCGAACTGTACCATCAGTAGCATTCAGGTGTTGGTCGTGTTCACATGCGACTGCTCTTTTTTTCGCTTGATTTTTCTCTTATTGCCGTCGTCATTTGCGCAAACGAACACCATTGGATCACTTCATAAAAACGGATCTAATTGGGTGAAGAAAAAAGCTTTTCACAGTAAAATCGTGTCTTTTATTTATTTTGTGAGAGACTAAATATCTGCGAGCTAAATGTTAATTATCTCAGTGTGACAAACGGATTTTTTTTTCGCGAACTATTAAACATTCTGAACAATCAAAACTAAAACGATCGTTTAAAAAGTGCGGTTTTCAACGAATTTTGTGCCGTTTAATTTTTTTTAAGGACTGCATAAATTGTATAATCCAACAGCAATATCGGGATGATTTGATTTTTATTCAAAATTTCCAGTTTTTAAGTTAACAAGTGAACTCATCGTCAATAATCATAGAAAATGATCATTGCGAAAATAAGTTTCGTGTGAATTTCTCGTACAAATTTGGATATCGTAAAGTGATAAGAGACGTTTTTTTCGAAAAGATAAAAAGAAGAGATAACATCTTTTTTTCAAAAAATTAAATATTTAACGAAACTCGGAGAGATTAAAAGTGATTTGTGCAAATGCGTGAATTCGCGAAAAACAAAGCGATTTGATATAAATCAAACGACGATTTGAAAACATAATCGTTTTGCCAAAATCAACCGCATAAAACAAAACCACATTGCGGCAAAGACAAAAAAAAAAACAATGGGCTAATGTGAATATAATACACGGATCTGTGTGCATTCAATCTTTTTTCTGCCAGTGTCTGTCGCTATATCTCTTGTGTGAAATTTTAGAGTTGAACAAGTTTATTCGCCATAATTTGCCGCCGAATCATCGAAAACAAACATTGTGTCAATTTCATGAAATCAAATCACAATTGGCATTGCGAATTGGCCAGGAAACCGCATTGATTGATTGACCGCGTTTGGATGTTCGCGTGCTCAAAATCACAACAATGACATCATCCCATTAGCATTCAAACTCAGTGTCTGAATGAAGCTCAACTGTTAACCAGATGACAAATCAAATTGCAACGCGCATTTCATTTCATTTTTGAGCCCAATTTGTAATCAATTTTCGAATGATTTATCACGAACAAAAACTAATTAATAACATAAATAACTGTCACATCGAGTGCTGTGCGAAAGAAGCGAGCGGTGAAAATCTAAACCGTTGACAGCTGATTTTCTGATTGTTCATGGGATTTAAATGTTTTCAATTTTGTGGCCGCCAAATGTTGGACAATTGACAAAAGTATCGAACATTTATCGTGCGCGCTCGTGTGTGTGTGTGTGTTTGTGAACGAGTGATAGAAACGACGGGTTGTTGAATGATCGCAATCTCGTTATAGACATCCAAATTGCCAGCTATCAAAGTTAATTAGAACGCTCTTCGAATTTGCATTCGAACAATCATAAAATATTTGAACTGGTTGCTGTGTGTCATCATAATCTATTTGATTTTTGGCATAACGTGCGCGCTGCCTGATAAGCAACTACACAGGCACAACACAGAAACCAAAACGAAAATCAACACCGAAACATTTCAACAACACACAACAAATAAGCAAATGTCATATACAAATATTGATTAAATTACGGGAAATGAGCGTGATTGGAAACATATTTTGCTAGGAAAAAAAAGAGACACAACCGAAACAGGAACAGAGGGGCAAAAACGAGAACAACAACAGTGAAATACCAATAGATTATGGTTATTAATTGAAAACAGTGCGTTTTTTTTTTGAAGTGAGATACCGGATGACACATAAGTGCCAATTACAGTTATATTTTATCAACTGAATTGATAAAGAACACGTCGGAAATAAAAAAAAAAGTTATTCAAGCTACCAATCCAATAACTATTGATACTGTACGTTTGGTGATTATCGTGACAATTTTGGGGGGTTTTTCCGCCTTATGAAAAGACAACCGGATTGATACTTTGATTTAACGATTTACAGTACAAAGCCAAATTCGGACAAATTGAATGTATTACATCTTCATTGCTGAAGAAGAAATTTGGTTTTAACAGTGACAAGCAGAAAGCTTAAAGTTAGAACTTCATCGAAATCAAGTGGAACAATTAGAATTTCAATTTAAATGGCAATGGAAGGTTCAGATTACGGTTCGGCACATTTGCCATCACCAGCGCTGGTTGTGTTTTCACAAGCTGCCAACGGTCTTAGCGAAGCATTACGCATTCAAAGGCCATTCCATTCACAGGTTTGTACACAAAACAGAAGCAAAGCTTCTGAACAAAACAAATACGAAGCAACAGACAAAAAAAATTACAAACGATTGAAATCTTACAATCAATTTGAAAATCAGCGTGCGTAACCAAATTGACTGAATCATTTTGCACTTAAGCACTGCGCGCAATCGTAAATAAATCGATAAGGGCTCCTTGGGGTTCGTTTCCTTCATTTTTATTTTATCTCAACACAAATTATGTCTCTAATAATACGTCTCTGGGGGAATTATTTTATATAAATATCTCTTTGAACACGATCAAAACAATTAGTCATTCACAGTGCAATTTCAATTGAATTACATTGTGGCCTGTGGCAAAGTCAAGTTGTCTAGGCGAAATAGAGAGACACTTCTTGTGCATTATCAAAGATGACCTATGTGTATAAGAACACACACACACAAACACATATATGTAACCTCGGAATACACATACGTGCAGAGTAAAAGATGCATGGATTATTACAAGTCATTCGCATTCCAAGAGCCATAATTGCTTTCGATTAACTCAACACAACAATTTGCATCAGCAAAGTCAAGGGTGTAACATTCCCGAAGTGAAAACAATGCCATGCGACAGCAACGTCTTTATCTTAACTGTGGTCAAATTATGTGGGTTTCGACTTGCAACACTGTACCATCGCCGCCACCATCATCATCACCATCACTTTCGTTGGTCATTGTCTCTTGACAAAATGCCTGAGAAATTGGTCTACAACCAAGCAAACAATCAACACCACCCAACGAATTTGTACCACCAACAAGAGGGTTATGCGAGAAAATCGGATTCATTCAACTGATTCATAGGAAAAAATGATTTGTTTTTGAAATTGAAGAAAACAAAAAGGGGCAAAGATGTGGATTTTCAACATTTTCTAAATGTTCAAGATGTTTTTTTATTCACAACAATTAATTTGGTTTTTATCGATTTTGCGGTTTGATTCACTTGAAAGTTCAAGTTGAAATTTTCGCTAAAAAAATTACCAATTTTTGTTTTCATTTTCTTCGACCTCGATTTTTTTTGTTTTTATATCCAAAATACGTCATTTTTTTCATTAAAAAATTTAAAAAGGAGAAAAAATTGAAATGAAACACAAAAAATAATCAAAATTGATTGTTAAAACCGATTGATCGATACCATCAGCCAAGGATCATTGCATCAGTCGAATCTTTGCCATAAGAAATTGAATAGAATATTTCGAGGGAACTTTTTTTTCTGCGAATTTATTCAAATGATTACAAAGCCGCGAATGTCGAAAAAAAGGTTTGTAAAATATTCCAAATGTATTCCGAAGATTTGTACAAATCACAGTGGGAAAAATGCGTGTGTTGTGTGGTTCTGGAACTTAGTTGAGGGTGTAGAATTATATGTTTTTTTTTCTCGCGAAACCGACAAGAAAATAATAAATAGAGACGGAAAATGTAATGAGAAAGAAGGTGGCAAAAGATTTGGCAAGTCGAATGAATGTGATAAATTAATGGAAATTACCTGATAGAAATATTTGGTGTGCAAAATTCAAATAAATGCCCGTCAGGAGTTCTGGGTGCACAACGACGGCGACAGCGACTTATTGCCCGAATAAAATAGCATATCGCTTGGTATAGGATAGAGGCGACGTCTTTGGATTTCGCGAACGCTCATTAAATGCACGTCATAATTTTCGTGTATTTTGGTTGTGTGTGTGATTTAAAAGCTGTACGAATATTTATATGCATATACTGTACGTTGACGGTGCGCACATACACACCGTATGCAACGAACAATCATTTTTCTCAAGCAACTCCATATATTTATTAGTTGGTTATATTAATTTTGTCACCCATATCCGCAATCACATGTGCTTATCATGAAAACACTCTCTGTTTTCGTAGCAGGCGTCCTCCTATATTTTTCACTCTCTCTGTTTCTTTCTTTATCACACCTAATAATGGCATCTAATGCGCGATTCTTTTTCGGTTTTGTTTTCTTTTCTCGTTTCTTTCGGTGTCGGTGCGGGCAACGACGACGACGACGACGGCGATGGAGCAGATTCAAGATGCCAAGGATTTACATCATTTATCGTTAGTTGGTAGTTATGGTGCACATCTATTACACGGTTTTCCACCCCATTTTTTGCATCCAACTGTGACATCGGCGAGCTCAGCAAGCAATCCATTTAGTAGCAGCGGCGGTGCCTTTGTTAAGCCATTTCCATCGAATCTACCGCTGCCATCAGCATTCGCACCACCAACAAAATGCGTTGGTCTCGGTTTGGAACAGGTAACAAATAAATTCATTTACACAACAGCAGCGCCAAAATTTTCGTTCGCTCTCGTTCTGTTTTTGATTCGGTGCTTTTTTTTCCTCGTCTCCCGACTATTGGAGTTAAAGTTTCTCGTGTGATTTCCCACAATCGTTGTAATCGATAGCATGGTGTTTCAAAACCGTTGAAGCGTTTGCAATTAAAATATTTTCCACGTTTTTCATGTCCATTTGCTTCTAGTATCACATCGTGCCAAAAACAATGTTTACACAATAAAAAAAAAACTGTGTTACTAAGCACAATACTGGAGATACTGAACACTGACAATTGACTTGATGTGCGCCTCAGAAAAACCGTTCATCGTGGTATTTTTCGAGGGCAATGATGACGATGATAAATCCATGAGATAAATTCAGATTACTTCGATTGTAATTAATTTTCAAAGCACTTTGCACCCACCTTATTCTTCTCCATCCATCCATCTACATCCTAAATAATATATTGGATTGCATCTATTTTTCATAGGGTATTTTATTCAGCGGAAGTGAATCATTTCGAACGGATTCGTCGAGTCCAGCGTGCACATCATTATCACCTCCCGTCAAAGAGGAATCACTGGAGGCACACACAAGCGAAGAAGGTGATCGTGATCGCATTTGTAGCCCGGAACGTTCACCCGAAGCACCCGGCTTTCGACGTAAGTACACATAAACCAATTCACAAATAAATTCAACATCAAAAACTGAATGGAAATCGCAAAATGTTCGCTCGAATGAGAGCGTGTCTTTTTCTTTAAAGTTTTAAAACTTGAATTGAGTAAAGTTTTAAAACCCAAAAAATAGAACAAAAAATACAATATCCATTATAAAGATCCAGAACGTAAACGTAATTTTGCTGATTTTCTGTTCTTGTTTTTATTTTTAAATAACAATTTGCCTAAATGACAACTCAAAAACATGCCGAACAATTCAAATTTGTCGAAAAATTGACCGAACTTATTTATTCATCGTAATCGAAACCGAGAACCGCATACCGAATAATAAAAAACAATTATAATAACGATTATAATCATTTATCTGAATTGAAACAGTACACAAAACGAGCTCGCACACACACACACACACACACACAGCTAGAGAAAAACGCAATAACTTCATTTTCAATTAATTTCCATAATTGTATCGTTAAGTTTTATTAATTTGCTGTGGCGAAAAAAGATGAATTGTTTTAATAAAATGTAAATAGCAATTATATATCATGATTATTACTATTATTATTGTTGTTGTTACATTGTAAGGGCAAAAAGGATTCGCAATTTTGCTCTCTCTGCTCGGTCTCTCGGCAAACAATGTCGTTGTCACGGACTATGCCATTTCTTAAGCAGAAAAATTCAGTCGAACGCCGTTGTGTAAAATACTTTTCGGTGGTGGTTAGTCTTTTGTGTGACAACAATTGTACTTTATTGCATATGCCGTTACTTTATTGCAATCATATTCCGATGTTATTGCGTTCGAGTCGGAGCTGAGCTGCGTGTGTATATGTATATGTGTGTGTGTGTATGTGTGTGTATGTAAATATTGCAAACTGGAATGGGAACAAAAACATCTTTGAATGACAATATTGTTTCGCATTTATATGTGATTATAGCAAATGAAGCATTCGGGCAAAACGAGTGAACGAGTGAAACCGTGTGTATGGATAATGTGTGGTGGTGGTGGTTTGTGAGAGAGTTTCAAACTGATTTCGACCACATTAATTACAATATAAATACTCGGTTTTCCTTGCCTCCTTCGCTTCAAGTGGCGGTTTTTCTCGTCTCCTTCTGGCTCAATTTCATACTATATCTCATTTAAAAACACAAAGACAAATGCCGATATTTGGGGGAAGAATATTCCTTTGTTTTTCACTTAAAAACATATGTAACGATCCGAAATCGTGTAATTTTCCACTCAATTGGATTGTGTCATAATTTGAAAAGCATGGAAGCGTCTTAATTTCAGTCGGAATATCGTTCAAATAAAACCATATCTTTGGTGATCGCACGGCTTTTTTGGCCAAAAAAAAAAACGAGACGGAGATAGCGAGGGAGAGAGATACAAGACACAAACAATGAACGAGAGACAGAAGCGAACAGTACTTAACTTCCACCGTTGGAAATGTCAATTGTAAATAATCTCATTATATTCGGATAATAATATTAAAAGAAAATTTATTGCCTGTTTACTTCTTTCGTCTGCGTTTCGTTCGTTTGGTTCATAAAATCAAATGCCGCCGTTGTTGTCGTCGTCGTAGCATTCACAAAGGATTTCGAGGGACTCGGGAGAGATATGCACATACACACACACACACACACACACACATACACCGAAAATTGAACAGAGAGAAACTAACGGTGAGGTACAGCGCAAAAATACGCATTTGATTATTATTGCCACTCGGCTACTTGCTGCATCATATATACACATCGACGGATGGCAAAAATTCCGAAATGAAAAAAAAAGAGAATGGGGATTCCTTGAAAACCATTCAGCTACTGTTTACATATTCATTTAGCTTCGGCTTGAACACGCTGCAACTACGGTTGTTCATTTGCACAAATAAAACGTTTACACATTGTTATTCGGATCAGTTTTGATTTTCTTCTTCGCTATCCTATCTTCAGGCTCTGTCTCTTTGCTCGCATTCATATATTTTGAACGAGTGTGTTCGAACCGATTTTTGCCGCCGCATTGGGCCCAATTCATTGTTTGCATACGCTTCGATTGTAGCGGAATCGGTTCATGTCGTTTTGGTGTTGGGTCTGGTTTTTATTGGGCGAACAAATGTAGAAAAGCATATCATGCAAAATGCACATAAGCCCAAACCAAGACACAATACAGTTTTTGAAACAACAAGCAACACTGAAGAGAGAAAAAAGCACCCGAAGAGGAAACAAGACTTTATGCACCTAGTCACGCATGCAAAATCACATGCATCAAATTATGCATGTATTCCCAAAACAATATGCAAATCGATTTTGCATCGCAAAGACAGAAACGGATTCAACATATGTGTGTGTGTGTGTGTGTGTGTGTTCGAATCGCACCACGACTTTATATTGCTCGAATGGCAAATCGACCCCGTATATTGATCGATGCAAACAATTAAATTCGAATTACAATTATTCGTGTAGTTTCTCAGTTTTCTGTCGCGATTCAAAGCGCGTACAAATTTCAAACGCGTCTTTCACACCACATTGACTATGAACGAGAGAGAGAGAGAGAGAGAGAGAGAGAGAGAGAGAGAGAGAGAGAGAGA